TCCGTATCTGTAACATTCAAGTATCAATATTAACTCTCACTTTAAAACAGGTATATTCGATCTTTCCATACGCGGAAATATATCGAATAAAATGAAGAATACGAGCAACATAAACGAACAAGCACAAATTAACTACAAATATTCCGAGAAAATGAAAGGAAATCCATGCAAGCAAGCACATTGAAATGCTTACCCTGAAGATTTTGTTCAAGCCATTTAGACTGTTTTGTTCTAATGTGGCTTGCCCACCACCATGAATATGCATTGCTTGCAGCTCTCTGCAACATCGTTTTGGTTTGTGGCTGTGTTTAGATCCCATGGACAAAGATGATGATGGCCATAAAAGAAAGTGACAAGTTTTGCAGCAAATGGGGAGGGGTTAAGGGATGGCCCGGGTTATGTGTTGAATCCTTTCGACAAAGCTGCAAAAATAGGAAGAACGTGTCCAAATGGCAGTGTGTCAAAGTGGAGATGAATTTTGCTAAGTTTGGGGTTTCCTATAATAAGATGTCCAAATGCCCTCTCTTTTTAGAATTTGAAAAAACCACATTCTACAATCTATTCAAAGTCGTAACTTCTTGTTCGAACCAAGTTGTAACTTATTGTACGGACCAAACGATATTAATAGTTAAAGAATTATTATTATTTCTTGAAGTTTCGAATTTGAGCACCACATATATAGATGTATGAGCGTTCACTGTCAAATGATTAAAAGTCTTTTAACATATATTACCTTATACTCACTCCAAATTAATAAAAAAAATCCGTGACTGCTTTAAAAATTAATCACAATTAAGATACTTAAATAATGGTACATTAATTTGTTTTCAATTAAGTTTGTACGCAATTGTTTTTCAAATAAGTTTGTGCGAAGTTCACGTGACTAATTCAAAAGTTTGGTATTAATAGATTACTTCTTTTCAATTATTTTCATTTAATTTTTTAAAATTATGTGTTCAATCCACGAGTGATAAAATAATTAGGACAGATGAAATAATATTTAGAGGTAACGGTAAACTTAATTTCCAGCAATTATATTCCTAGTTGATTTTAATAATTTATCTTTCAATCAAAAGTTAAAGTACTTTATTAACGTAAATATCAATTATTAATGGTATTGACATGATAATTTTTTTTTGGTTGAAACAGGTACAAAGGGCTGTTTAGCTGTCCGTTCTATAAGAAATTAGAAACTTCTCAGCTTCCTTGGGAGAGTTCTGCAGCAATATTGTATCCCCCTGGTACCTCCATATCTGTTTGGTGATTATATCCGCTACTCGATTGGCTTCTCTAGGTATATGCTTTAATTCAACCTTCCAATTTCTCTTAAGAAGAATCTCTATGTGCTGAAGAATCTCTATGTGCTGAAGAATAGTTAGCTTTCTGTGTTCAGTCGACTTGTTTTTTATGAGATTTATGACTTCTCTGTTGTCAGATTCCTCACATTCCTCTCTCCCTTCATCCATGTAACATTTAACCCCTCATGAATTCCCCAAAGTTCTGTTTCCAAGATGGAACAAATCCCAATTTTCTTACCAAAACCTCAAATCCAGTTTCCATTATGATCTCTTGCAATTCCCCTGCACACAGCTTCTCCCGTATTCTGTCTTTTGGCTCCGTCTGTATTAATCTTGTAGTAGTCTCTGATTGGTTTTTGCCATTTGTATTGTTTGCTACTTATGCTTTTGATATTTCCAGTCTTAGAAATTTCTATATTCTGAATATCATGGGATAGTCTTATGGCTTGTTGAATAATAGAGTCTCTTTCAATCATTTCTGGGTCGAAAATCACATGGTTTCTTTTTTTCCAAATGTACCAGATAACAGAGTTGAAGAAGATAGGCCAATTCTCGATCCTCGACGAAGGGGATTTGCTTGTTTCAATATTCTCGATGATCCACTCCTTTATGTTGATACTCAGGAACTTATCCATTTTCTGGGTACCCAGTAATTCAATCCATATCAGCATGATTTTTGGGCAGAATCTCAGAATGTGGTTGATATCTTCTGATTCATAATTGCACATAGGGCATCTTTCATCCGTTGTCATATGCCTATGAGCTCTTTCAGAGTTGGTCAGTAATATGTTGTTTCCTATAAGCCATAGGAAAGTTTTAATTCTGGGGATGTTATTATGCTTGGCAACGGTGCACCAGATCTTCTCCTCTCTGGAATTGATATTTGCTATCTTCTTATATGCAGATTTGACAGTGAAGACTCTTCTCTCCGAGGGAATCCAGCCTGGGGAGTCTGCAATGCTTTCTTCTATTGGGGGAGGTATGGCTTTCAATTTATTGATGATTTGGTCTGGAAGTAGACGATTAAGCTTGATCCAATCCATGTATCATTCTACTTAATCATTTCCTTTACTTTGGATTTGTCATTTTCCACTTCAATTGGATGGTTGCATGAATTTGATAAAGGGTCATTCTGATCTAGCCATATGTTGTGCCAAAATTGCACATGATTTCCATTTCCAATGTTCCAGCAAATATTCTACTTAAACTCTGTCCATATGTTGCATATGTTGTTCCAAAGAGCTGATCCACCCTTTTTAGTTAGCTTCTCAGGAAGGATTCCTTCCACCTTATATTTGTTTCTCATCACCTGCACCCATAAAAAATCATTTCTATTAATAAGTTTATAAGCTAGTTTAAAAATGAACACCTTGTTTTGCATCCTTAAATTCTTTTGGCCTTGTCCCCCATCTTTGATCGGTTTACAAAGGGTATCCCAGTTCAACAGATGAACTCCTTTCTGTTCATTTGTATGTCCCTATATAAAGTTTCTGGTAAGTCTTTCCAGTTCATCGCACGTTTCTTTAGGGATTAGAATTGACTGCATAGTGTATGCTGGAATTGAGTTGAGAACCGATTTAGCAAGTGTAATCCTTCCCGCCAAAGATAATGTCTTAGCCTTCCAACCTGAGTCTGTCTTTAACTTTCTGAATGATGCTGATATAAGTTCCTTTATTGATTCTGTTGTGTAAAAGTGTAACTCCCAAGTAATTTCCAAGATTGTAGACCTCTTTGATTCCAATCATGTTCATAATAGTGTCTCTGGTTTGAACATTAATATTGCTTGAATAAAAGATATTGGATTTCTGTAGATTGACTTTCTGGCCCAAACTGCTACAGAATTTTTGGAGCGTATTCTGAATTATCTCAATTTGGGAATTGTCTGCTTCTGCAAAGAGTATAAGGCCATCTGCAAAAAAGAGGTGAGAAATGTTAGGACCCTTTCTAGATAGTTTAATAGGTTGCCACTTACCTTGATCCACAGCTACTGCAATTTCTTGCGCTAGTCTTTCCATACAGATGACGAACAGGTAAGGCGAAAGGGATCACCCTGTCTAATTTAATAATTTAATCCTTGATCTATATTAAAAACAAACACATCAGCAGAACAGATGGAAAATAGTATGAGAGTTAGAGAAAGAATGAGGAACAAAGATATGCTATCTCAAACTGATATTACTACAGATCAAGCCCAGAAGACAATTGTCTTTCCTCTTTGTTTAATAGGTAAGCCCAGAAGACGGTTTAAAATATTTAGAAAAGAAAAGGAAATCAAATTATAAAAACTATTAAAAATGTATTATGAAATAAATGTGGACTACCATGTTAATTTCACCGAAAATTTAAAATTTTATTTGATATTTTTAAAACATAATTATTAAATTATTTTTAATATAGATCAAGGATTAAATTTATTACTTTTTAGATATTGAGAATCAAATTTTACTCAAAATAAAAATAAATGTAAAATCAATATAAAAACTATAAACGTTGAAAATTAACTTTCTTATTATATCCATTATTTATTATCGTTTTAAAAGTTGATTTATTTAAGATTTTCTTAATTAGATTAAATTGATATCTAGTTACACCATTTTAATATATATTACATTATGGCCATGGGAGACCCACTATTTGGGTGGTTAAAAATATGGGTAAAATTTTATCTTCTATTTTAAAATTTGGTCATTTTTTAATTAAATTGATACTAAATTAACTTATGATTCTAATTATATCAGAATTTTAATATATAGTGTATGTATATGTTTCCTATTTACATGTTGAAGACGAAAGACAGTTTGATGCGCAGGGATATGGTTGTTGATGGTCTCTGTGTACTGTATTTATGTTCTCCTTCTCGAGTTAGTGTTGAATGCTTTGGGAATAACGCAATAGAAGACGCTTTAGTAGCATTTGTTAGTAGAAACATAATTAATTTAGACAAGCACATTCGTATAGCTTGGAGGATAGGAAATTAAATTTATTTGTTGATTTATAGCAGCTTGCTGTTTCTTTAGATATAATACATACATTTTATTCAAAAAGAAAATAGGTTTTCTATTTACAAATAAAAGAAACCTAAATAGATGTTTATTGAATAAAAGCATATTCTTAACCAATGCAGGGTCGGGCCATATAAGGATCAGATGTAGACATATAATTCTCGGGTTAGAGTCTGAACGATAAAAAAATCCGACCCATCTCACCCAATTGTATTCCCTAATTTTTTTACTTTTGAATAATATGATGTTATTACAATAAAATATATGTTCAAAACACAATTCACATCAGTTGGCATATGGCAGGTTCATATCCTTGAACATGGAACATTAGCCCCAAGGGATGCCATGTTCAATTCCATCTTGGCACTTTCAGCTCCTTTTGCCTTAATCATAACATAGAACAGTAGCAAATCATTTGGTCATCTGCTGCCAAATTCGACAACTCTTGATCGATAAGGGAAAACTACAAACCTTGGAACAACAAACTATCCGACTGTGTTTCGCTACGCCGATGATTTTTATGAATCGATAATGTAATAGAAAGAAAGACTTATGTTATATACACAATACTCCCAATTACTCATTTATTATATTTACAGTAATACAACGAGAACATAATCTGCTTCAGTTTTTAGTATGTACATTGATATTTACAGCAAAGAATAGAATACACAACTTTCTCCATTTATTTCTAGCCAAATCTCCCAATAAATCTACCACACACACACAAATGAACATTAATCTACTTCATCTGAACAGCATACAAGGAAGACATATTGTCGGCTCCTTTTTCTTTGGTTCTCAAAGGAAACAGCAGAAAAGGACATGTATAGTCCGATATTCACACCATGTTGGTCCCCTCGCTGTTGTTTCCGCTGCTCATCGGTTGATATCCGTTCCGATTCTCTTCTAATTGCAACAACAAATCAATGAAGTAGGCTATTCGTCCGCCCCTCTGTCTCCTCATCTTTTTTTTTTTTTTAAATTACACTATCTACAACATCTTTGTACAATACTTATAAACACGACCAGATTCTTCCAGCAGATGGGCATTCATATGCAATATTCAACTGTGCATGATATCAGTTAGTCTGCAGGGAAGAAAGCCACTGTTCCACGTACTTTTTGCTTTCTGCAAATTGAACAACATAAAGAAAAGGATTTAGAACAATGCATATGCTTCAGCAAGATCCGTAAAGCTTACCGAAGACGACCATGATTGGAAACTTAAAGCACATGGCTCCCCAAATAAGTACACTCAGACAACAATTCAATAGCTAAGTATGCAGGGAATGGGAGATTAACAGAGCAACATGACAATCAGAAGAAAAAACAAGTTAAATGTCAAAATTTTCACAGTTCATTGTATATAAGAATTTCAATGGAACTTTTAACATTTAAATGCATAAATCTCACAACTAACCAAAAATCACTTTCCTCTTTGTTTTTAGGTCACTAATACTATTATACCATCAAAGTCACTGAGAAATGCCTTACAAGAAGATAATGTCAAACCTAGAACATTGTTAGTCTGCACATACTTTTCCTAATGCAACCTTGAAAATTTTGAACAATTAAAGCAATCCAACAACATCCACGGACAAGTTCAAAACATAAAAAAGTGCATCTAGATTCACATTGTTGAATATGCTCTATTTCTCAAATTCAGGAGCTAAAGTTAGTTTTAAGTAGCTGGTCTATGAGATGCCACATGCCGAGCTGTAGCTTAGCCTTTTCCTTGTTAATAAATACGCATCCCAAATAACATTTCAAAGGCTCATGAACGGGGAATAACACTATTTGGAGTTTACATAATTCAAATCCATGTTGTTTCCTATGATATCAAAGACTTGCAATCTAAACCTCATAGACTTGCTAAGCAATAAAGACGATGGAATTGAAAGTTAATGCAAATTCTTAACATTAAAATAAAGGTGAGAAATGGTTCTTACCAACAGAATAATTGTCAGGAAGGTTGACAATGGCACCGAGAATATTGTTCTTCGAATCTGCCACCAAATTATCCTGATTATGCCCATAACATGGAACCAACACTGCAAAACTGTTCTCCGAATCATCATCACTCTGGAATCCAGGTCCATGAGGCTCTAACCATCCAATGGAGTAATCAGAACCATCAGACTCAGAACCCGACACACACCCTCCGTCAGATGGCACAAGAACTACATCATATTCCCTATCGATCTTTCTTTCCTCCCGACTATGCCATTTCCTCTTAACTCTTCTTGACGAAGAAGCCATAGTAGCCCTCTTAATCCTAGGAAACTTCAGGTTATCTGATTCCCATAACCCTGAATCAGGTGAGGAACTTAAAGAGGACCCATTGGCAGTTCTAGGATCTTGATGTTTCCCACTCCATAACCACCATGAAAGATGAGTAAAGGCCAAAGCCATATGTTTAATTAACCGAAGCAACGATTTGTTTCAATCTTTTGGCACAAGCAAAAGTTTGTAATATGAAGCACAAATATAGCTAATATCCAATCCCCAGCGGAACCTGAACCAGAAGATATGCAATTTGATCAGAACTTTCTGCATTTGAAATAAATCCCATACTTAACAAACTGCAATCAACCCAGAATTATACGAAGGAATTAGATGCAGCAAAAACAAACAATCAAATAGAAACGTTTGAAATCATATATTTTCCTTGGCTTCATCTCAATGTGTACATCTTTCTGATAAACAAAATTTCCTTTAGAGACAACAAAAGTTTACAGCCTTGGACAATAAATTTAGACATAATCCAGAAGAATGAAAGATGCCAAGTAATACAGAGAGAGAGAGAGAGAGAGAGAGAGAGAGAGATTGTTTTCCTGCTAAAAACAGATTTCCAAATTTAGAAATAAAATAACAGTAAAACTAAAAAAAAAAACTCATCTTTCGATTCACATTTTCTCAATGAATTACAAACAGAATCTCAGAATGAACCATTTGAAGCCCCTAAAAAAAGGCGGACACGTTGAAGATAGAAGTTTCCTTCTTTGATGGATGCAAAGCGAAACAAAAAAGAGAAAGAACCCCCAAAGTTCATTCCTTGTGTTTCAATATTCGACTATAAAGAAAAAGACTTGTTGAAAACTTTAAGAACAAAAAAGATCAACAAACAAAGTACCTTAAAAGCTTCCCCACCGAAAAAGGCAAAAGACCCAAAATTTCAGATACGGTGATGAAATCGAAATCCCACCAGTTTTCTTTTTAATTCTGGTTGATCTCCCTTCCCTTGCAAGAATCAATTTTGTTTTTAAAACAGAAAGATAAGACAGACTCCATAAGAAGAGAGTTTCATTAGGAATACAGCGAATAATATTTTAACAGCTAATAATAATAATAATATCGTATAATATTTGCAATTATTAAGCAGTGATTTTCGCTCTCTGGTGAGGAGGGAGGGGAAGATTCTTTTGGATTGGTGGATATTAGTTGGATTGAAATGAAAACGGGTGTAGCGGATTAACGACATTTGATGGGGAATTTGGTTGCCAGGTCAGATATGAGGTGCGGTAGAAAGGGTGACGTGGCGGTGGATTTGACCAGAAAACTGAAATAATGAGAAACGTGTGCTTGTTGTTCAAGTAACCCTAACCAGCCTTCTTCCTCGGAATTTCCCGTTTCATTCATTTATTTGACATAATGTTCTAATTAAAATATTATTTAATTTTATACGTTTCTTTATATAAAAATCAACTAAATGTTACTTATCGAGAAGGAATAAATAATTTGTGGGTGAATTAAATTGGTAATTATGAATAATCTCTTAAGATTAGGTTTAATATAGAGATGCATGCATCCTTTGTTGATCTACATTTATGGCTTTTTGAATTTCATTAGTTGTCCCTATGGGCGGCTATTACATTTTCCAATTAAACTACTGCTTTACTCTCCACCCTTCTACCCAGAGTTTACGTAATTTTATAAGAATAATAATCTTTTATTATTATTTACGTGAATAATACGTAAAAAGAGTTATTTAGAAAAAATATTATCTTTTTTGATAAAGATGTATTATGTCCATCGTATAATTTAAAAAACATATTTGATATGATATATATTTATTAATTTAATAAAAGAAAATAAAGAAGGTAAAAATATATTGAAAAAATCATACGTATTTTATCTAAAATTATCATATTGACATGGATATAATCAAAGTTAAGACATGTAATTGATAGCTTAAAAATTAATAAATGTAATAGTAAGATTTTTAAATCTATATTATTTAAATAATATTTTTTTTCAACAATTTAATTATAATCTTTTAAACAGCACGGACCCTAGTGACCTCGGTGGTAAAAGAATTATTGTTATTCCTTGAGATTCCAGATTTAAGCATCAATAATGTCAAGGGTAAGAGCGTTTAATGTCAAATAGTTGAAAGTTATCTTTAAACATATATTATCTTGTTTTTACTCCAGATTAATTAAAAAAATTATAATCTTTTAAATTATATACTTATGGACTCATTACTGTTTAACTTGTGCATGTATAATATTATATGTGTTTCTTTTTTTCGGATAAAATCTATAAATCTTTTATATATTTTCTTTCATTTTTGCCCAAAAGTATAAACATTAAAAATGTTGATAGAACCTTTTATCACTTCAACAAAAATACGTTTAATCAAACATATTTTCTGCAAAGCACGATCTACATTATGTATATTTGTCAAAAGAATATTAATTTTTGAATAATATTTCTAAGTATTGTTTACTTAAATAAAATAAAATAATATTTTTCATATATAAAAAACCTAGAACTTAATAAAAAAGTAAATTACAGTAAAAGAATAAATTCATTCATTTATTTAAAATATAATTAAAAAAAAAAACTAAGTTGAGTTCTTCCCTAGCTTCCCAGATCCCATCTCCCTCAGCCATGGAAACCCAAAGATAAGGACAATTCTACTGAAATGAGATAGAGATAAGGACAATTTCTCATCTCACTCCTCCACCAAGGAAAATAAAATAAAAGAGGTTGGACAGGACCACAAACGGATTTGAAATCTGCTTTCAATGTTTGTGTCAATGTCAAACCAACCGATATTGCACATGGAATGATCACAAAAAAGGAATTATACATTTTTTTGTTGTAAAAAGAAATATTTCTGTTATCCAACATCTGAACCAATCACTGTTGCTGGGAAGGATTATGGTTTTCCAGTTGTCCAGATTCAATATGTTTGTTTGGGTGGGATTATTGGTAGTTAAACCAATCAGAAAATAACACTTGTCAGTCGTCAAGATTTTTTCCTAGGGTCGGGACAAACCCTAAAAGACAAAACCAACTTTCGATCCAAAACAAAGCAAAGCAACCATTTGGTTTGTGGCACAAGTTAAACTGAAGATGGAAGAATAGATGTTGATTCTAACTAGGCTTTTCGTCCGTATCACAAACCAATCATCTAGTATGTTCCTTCGGGTAACCATTATAATTCCAAAGTATAATATACACCAAATCACTTAATTCTAGGCATCTTTTTGCGTTAATTATGTATTTAGTTGCAAATCCATTTTCACAGTTCTATTTTAGTCACACAATTATCATTATTTTTATATTATATATTTAATGTTACGTTTTGGTCACCCATCGTTGAAAATAAACAAAACTATTGACGTGATAACTTTTTTAAATGATGACATGATATTATTTTATGAAAATATGTCAATGTTATCATTAATTTTTAACGACGAGTGATCAAAATGAAATCAAAACATAATGTTAGTTATGATTTTTTTAAATAATTGGGTAACCAAAATGAAACTGCAATAATAGATGAGTGACAAAATGCGTAGTTTATCCTTTTTTTCATGAAAAAGTTAAGTATAATTTAGTTGGCTAATTAAAATTAGGATAAAGTATATAAATAGTGCCTAAACTTTTTGGGCGCTTGCATTTTGGTCACCCAACTTTTGAAACTTGCAATACAGTCATCGAACATTTAGTTCGTTTTCAGTAAGGTTCCTGTCGTTATCTCTCATTAGTTTTTACTGAAGTGACACTTAACTCCGTTAAACCCCCCATCTTCCTCATTCTTCTCTTTTCTTACACACATAAAAATAACTCACTATCACCGACCTTCAGTCATCAGTGGCTCACACCGCCATCACCATCGTTATTGGTGTCGCCTCTGGACCACATCCTGACCCTTGATTCATACTCACCACCCACCGTTCGTCCCAAATCACGTGAAGACTGTTCGAACACTCATCCTCGATTTTCGTTGTTAGTTGTTTGTGATTGTCACTGTGGCGTGTTGTGAGTACTATAAAAATATACGCAAATAATGTGCAAGTATACACAATCGCTCAAGTAATACAGTGATGAGTGAGTATCGTCTCCACAGGGATTGGGTGAAATTACAAAAGTCCAACCAAAGCTAAGCACTAATCTATCTATGTATAGTTAGTCTTAATATATAATAATATCATGGCAAATGAAAGGTGTATGAAAGTGGATGTGGATGAATGGTCTGATGGAATAGTGAATAAAAAAAGCAGTAGCAAGAACAGATGTTTAGTGTTGAAAATGGTGTAATGTCAAGGCAATAAGAAATGGTAAAAACAGTAAATAAATAGCAAATAAATTGATAAGAAGATAATCCTCACACGATAATCTTCTATTGGAATGAATGGTAGGGATTGATTTAAGGATGCTAAACTTATTTCTCAGGTAGATTTATGCTATCTAATCTTTGCTCACTCGACAGGGTTTTCCTAAAGTGTTCCTGCTATCTCTAGTCAAAGAAACCTAATAGAATAGGATGCCAAGGCATCTGCTCTCACTCAACAAAGCTGACAGCCTACACTATTGATAAAAACACCATTTTTAGTCGTTGAAATCCTCCTAGTCTCTCTCGAGCACTAAGGGATTAGGATATAGTATTCCTAGGCGGGTTCAAAGCCCCTTGAAAACACTATAGCCCATTGCTTATGAAGATCTTGTATTGTGTTTCTCTCGAATACTACAAGTATTTTTAGCTTAGGTTTTTCTCGAACACCTAACCTTCATCTAAGAAATGGACACTCTCATGCCTCTTACAAGCCTAGATGGTGAAGTATTCATAAGCAAAGCAAACAAATAACCAAGATAAACATAAATATACCATTAAAATAAAGTTTAAACAACCACCACCAAATAAGTTAGTTCATGGTGGGGTTCAAAATATCCACAAAATAAATCATGAAAACATTCTTTCCAACAACCCAAGAATAATATAAAAATAACAACAAAAGGGAAGTGAGAAGAAGTCTTCGACGCGCGCCACCAGAGGTCTCCTCAGCCACCACAAACCACCTTAGCTCACTAGCTCCTCTCGGACGCCTAGCTCGCCACTCCTTAGAGCTTTACTGATGGAGGAAAACCCAAGGAAGAAGAAGGAAAATAAAAATGGGATTTTTATGCTCTATGCATGTGTCTCTCTTTTTATTGTGTCCCCCTTTCTTCTCTCCAATAAGATATCATATATAATAAAAATATCTACGGGTAATGATGAGGTTGTTGGGTACAAAATACCCCTCATACCCCTAGAATCACACCATATGTGTGAACCTTATCCTCCACGTGGTAGGGTCCTCTGGCAGGCGGTTACAACAATCATTTCATGTGCAGCGCCAACTATCATTTTATAGTTGTATCTTTTTGTCGTTTTCTGCGCCAAAAATGACAAGGCATTTCAATCTGCTTCAGCAACGTGTGATGCAGCGGTATTTCTTCCCAAAGAGTCCTTTTGTATGCTATTTCGTACACACCACAAACAACTGCACCTTTCTCTCATACAACACCATTAAGAAAAAAAACAACAATACCACCACAAATGTAACTATATGCAACTACATGATCCTAAAATGACTAAAATGGGCTTTTAAACAAATAATAACTTAAGTAAAAAAGGCCTTAAAAGTAACCTTTTTAGGAAGTTAACACACCCCCAAACTTAAGCTATTGCTTGTCCTCAAGCAATGGATAGCAGTTACATAAGCAGAATGTCATGGAAATTTTCAACAATAGAACAGTAGGACAAAATTGATTTTCAACCCTCATAAAAATAGGCTTCAACATGCTAGACATATCAAGAAATCAAGTACATTTCCCTAGGTCAAAATCCTTTGTGGTCATGTGTGTGCGTGATTGTATCCAATCTATACTTAGCAAATTTAGAGAATTTATACTCAAGTCCCCTAGTTTTTTTCATGGCATTTACTTATTCATTAAACACGTTTTTACTCATTTTTTACTGATTTTTTAAATGTTGTTACGAAGGGAGTCAGCTCATCATACCTACTCTTCCACACTCTAGGTGAAAGGGAGCATACCTTCCACCCTCGAGCTAGTTAATAGAGTCATCTCGTGACTTCTTTTATTCACTCATATACACAAGGCTG